ACTCAGCAACGAGTGAAGAAAATGGTCACAATCAAAAGTATCAGAAACTGCAAGAAGAAAACCATAAGTTTGCAATTAAAGAACATTCTGAACAACTTCATAATGCTGATATGACTGATGAGATGCAGGAACTTGAAAAAGTTTTTTCAACAAACATTGTGCCAATGAACTACCCACATAGTGCCCACAGTGAGTCACCCCAGAAACCTGTCCAGGAAGCCTCCCTATCTGCTCATGTGAACCATGAAACCTCTTTTAAAACCATGAATGAATTTTCTTGTGGGACAGAGGAACAACACGAGCTGCAGAATGCAGTTACTGTAGATGAAACTGTAGCCTTCGAGATTACCGATGAGAGCCATGATTTTTTGTCTCAGGGACATGAACAGATTTTTATTCAGACTTCAGATGGGCTTATCCTGTCTCATCCAGATACTGCTGTTTTGTCTCAGGCAGAAGGCATCGTTATTGTAACCGATTCCAATGGTACTACAATGCACATTCGCACACCTGAGGGGATACCTTTGGAAACTGTGGAAGCGCTACTGGCAATGGAAGCGGATGGCCAAAGTGAAGATATTTTGTTCTCGCAAAGTGAATTGGAGCCATAAATTAGAAAACTGTATGCTTTCTTCTGGAAAAGACTGACTCTATAAAATGTATATTTTTCTAATGTGAATACTGAAATAATTGAAATTTAACTTATTTGTAAACTGTTTCTATGCCCTGTACTTTTTATAACTTATGTTTATATAAATCAAGCAGCGTCACAACCAAAAATTCTAGAATTAACATCGTTCTACTTGCTTTGTATGTTGGGGGTGGGTGGGAAGTGGAAATCTGTCAACCTGAAAACTGTTGCACTATTCCCTTTTGTTATGTAATTCCTTTTATCTCTAGCCATCTAAAAATGCAGTAAGTTGTACTGCTGTTCAGCAGTGATGTGATGTGTACTGGCAAGCTGTATATGGGTAAAATAAAAACTATATTAAAAATGTGTGTTTTCTGCACCATTGAGATTACAGAACACTTTGTCATTGCACTTTCTTAAAGCTAGCTTGAATATTGATTAGCATCTAGACTTGATGTGCATAAAAAATGGGCAGTCTTAAATATAATCCATGCTTCTGCATTCCAGGAACAATATGACAGCCTAGCTGATCCTTACTTAAATAAGCATCCACTGAGTTTGAGACAAAAATAGCCTCAAAGAAGATACAATTTGTACTGAACTGTTGAAAATGTATTTAAGTATGCTTGTCTAATGTTCAGCCACACCTTTAAAAATTGCAGTTACTTAGACAGAAGTGAGAAGGTGCGTAAGTAGTGATCTGATTTTCCTTAACAAGGTATCAGATCCTTTTTCTACTTTAGTCTGTGATGGTCTCTTTTTTTAAACTTGCATTATATTTTTTTCTTTCAGATGACACATCCGTTACCAGTTTTAAGCTTTGACCTTCCTAGTAACTCCACACTGCCCTGTACCATTTAATCATAATAAAAAGGTATCCTTGACTATAATCCCTGTTTCTCTATGCAGACAGAAATCTTAGCAAATTACTTATCTACTGCTATCTTGTATTTTTGTCATACTTCAGTATGTTGCTTGGATGGTAATATTTTTGTGGAGACCTAGCAGCATCTTGTCCGAGGCACTGTCTCTTCTTTCAAGCAGTTAGCAGATGAAAAAGAACATCCTTAAATGACCAGTATCTTTATTTTGTTCATGAGCTATTGTAGACAGTACTGAAAACTGGTAATGTACCTTTAACATGTGTGTGTTGCCTCATTGCTAAATACACGAGGCTACTGAGATAACTGGACAAATCGGCTAAAAGGACCTGTGATACTCAGGAGAACTGTTCTTAAATCAAGTATGAACATTGATTTTTCATGGGTTTGTTACTGAGGAACTGTGGGAAGCTGAAAAGGGGAAGTGATTGTGCCCCTGTACTCGGCACTGGCGAGGCCACACCTTGAATCCTGCGTTCAGTTTTGGGCCCCTCACTGCCTGAAGGATGCTGAGGGG